TCTTTCTGTAGACTCATGCTACATGCACACGTCGACCGTGACCCTCAGGAGCTTGTGACACCCATCAAGTTTGCTCGTTTGTGGACAGAGATCCCCACTTCTATCAGCATCAAAGAGTGTGTTCATATACTCACACAATCACCTTATATGACTTAATATAGAATTTTTTAAAGCATACTCAGCTGCACTACCATTCAAAAGTTTGGTGTTGGTAAGATTTTTTTAGTCTCTTAAACTCACCCAAACTGCATATATATTACAGCTATTACACCAGTCTCAAGTCACATGATCCTTCAGAAGTAATCTAATATGCTGAATAAATGTATTAATTTCTTTTGGGAAAAAATGACCCCAACCTTTTGAACGATAGTGTATGTAAAGACATTAAACTTTTTTTATATAGCAGTATGCAATCACTGTTTAAACAATGAAAGGTGTAATTATGCTGTTATAGTTATGACTCTCACTTGGACTATTCACGAGACAATAAAAAGAACAAGTTTGCCAATACGATGGCTTTTATGGAGGAGTACCTCAACAACGTTCTCATCGATGACCTACCTTTTGCCAATGAGGATAAAAACAAGCTTACATATGAGGTACAGTTATATATTAAAATGAAATTGCTTTAACATGTAAATATATATATGTAAATGTTAACATTAATATTTCTAAATGACATTCACATATTTGCTTTATTTACATTGTGTGTAGGTGGTGAGCTTGGCGAGACATCTCATCTACTTTGGGTTCTACAGTTTTTTTGAGCTTCTGAGATTGACTCGCACCCTCCTGGGAATCATAGACTGCACTCCGAGTAATGCTAACATCAACCCAATGTTTAGCGATGATGGCAGTGGTTAGTATTCAAAAACAAGAATTTGTTTTAGATGTATACAAGGTTACAGACTGAATGACACCGCTAAACTTCCTAGAATACCAGTGTCCAAAATGACCAATAAAACCGTTTCATCTTCCTAGGTAAGAACGTTAGACGATCCATTCATGGCATGGGGCAGATGATGTCCACTATGGTGCTAAACCGCAAGCCATCCGTGTTCTCCGGCCCTGGTCGCCCTGGTGCTCTAGACA